ATTGGATAAGTCTCAAGGCAGCGCGTCTGTGACTGGAGTGGGATCGCCTTACTCCAGCGGGAGTCTGAGGTACGGATTGGGATGGTGTCCCGAGGGTGAATGCACTCAGAATAATAACGTGCTTTCCCACCTTTGCTTGTAGCCTTGTTTCTTATGTCTCTCCGGACACCGAGTTCTCCCTTCGACAAGAAGCCCATGGGAGTATTTTCCTCTTTGACTCTGGTGTCTGGGATCTCTCTACGTTCCCCATCACCTTCGTGCTGTGACTCCTCTGCCTTTGCAACAACAGCATTTTCTTGTCTTGCTCCTGCCTCTCTTCCTCCAACTTGTTTACGTTTTCACCGCTGTTGGGTCCAGACGTGTTGCGGAAAGGCTGCCTGTGGCATCGGCCACGGCAGCTCCTCCGTAAAGGAGTAGGGCTGTTGTACTTGTCCAGATGGGTGTTTCTGCGCTACAGCACCAGAAAATCCTCCCTCCTTCTGCCCCTGTGGCTGTCAGCAGGGTTGTCATCAGTCAAGCATGGAGATGCCTGCCTTTCCACACCATCGCTGGTGTCCCAGCAGGGCTGGCAGCGTGCTGTGTCGCGTCCGGGTTTGCCTGCTGGTGCCTGGCCACATCTGTCCTGTGCTGTAGCATCTCTGTCATTCCTGAGGTGTCTCTCATTCCTGGGATCTCCCGAATTTTGCATGGCTCCGTTGCTGTGGTGCCTGCAGAGGGATGCTTCCCCCAAGAGCCCTACCCTCAGGCTGGGACGTGCACCAAGGATCTCCCCTGATGTGTGTTCGCTTTCTGGCCCAGCCTTGAGCACAAGGATGCTGTAGTTTGGGGTGGCTGTTGCCCTGGTTTTCAGTTCCCTTGGGCTGTGACTCTCTGAACCAGTTATTGCCTTGTTTGGGCCATTTCTCCAACTTCTGCAGTGAGGTTCACCGCAGGGGACAGCCATGATCTCACTCCAGCGCCCTGAGTCTTCCTTCAGATTTTTTTGGGACATTTTTTGCCCAGCAGAAAAATGCCCCTGGAGGCTCCAGTGCCGGAGGGACCCTGCTTGCTCACCCCAACGCAGGGAAGGAACTGTCAAGGATGGGTACAGCCCTGATTTGTATTGCTCCTGGGCACCTGCCTTGGTTTAGGACTCGTTTTTCTCCTTCCCTCGTTAGCAGGAGTCAAGGCTGGGCAGGAATGTGAGACAGAGGGAGCTGCCGGAGCTGGAGCAGTATCAGGTTCTCCCTTTGCTACGGTTAGTGGCAACGCTTACTCTGCGAGCTCCCTATTTTTAACGTTGCCCTGGGGCAGGCCTGGCTCTGGTCGCTGCCGCCCTCGTGTTTCGGTGGATATGTGACCCTCGAGGAGGCTTTATGAGCGGGGCAGATGGAGAAGATGTTGGATTTGCCAGCCTGGGCCTGACCCACGTGATGGATGAAAGCGATGCCGTGCGAGAGCCTCGGGTGGAGCGTGCTCTGCGGTAAGCACTCGGATATGTGGAAGTGTTTATAGAGACGGGTGCAGCTGCGGAGCGAACATCCTTCGGTTCCCTGGTGCTGGGACTGGGGGACGGGCAATCCCAGCTCGCACGGGGATGGAGACACAGGGTGCAGGCTGGCTGCGGGACTGGTTGCTTGCACTTCATTCTCCTCTCGCCTCTCCATGGCTTTCCTGCGTCATTCCTCAACTCTTCCTGCCATAAAACAAACAAACCAAAGGCCTAGGAGTTTCCCTGCTGCTGTAGCTTCGTTATCTTCTAAATCTTGTTGCATCAACTTTTCAGTTTCCGCAATAACTCCCCCCAAGGCTGCAACCTCAGATCCAGGTCCCGGCACCACTGAGCCGGCGCGGTTACTGTCGGATTAACCTCTCGATGGCTGTCTCCTCGGTACCCATGGCAAAGCAAGCGGTTTCAGTCATTCCTGGCTGGCTGAATTTGGGGAGCATTCCTGTCAGTACCTGTGTGCACGACTGGGAGCTCACCTTCCCCCCAGGGTGGTAACAGTGACGAGTGCCAAGTGGTAGGAGGGAAAAAAAAGCCCCAATATTTGTATTTTAGCTTTGCCTATTCTTGTTTTCTCTCTGCATGATCAATATTTAATACAGAACGATGAGTGTATCAGTTACTGTCCAGCTGTGTGAGAGAAACTGGATAAACTTGCTAAGTTTTACGCTTCTTGCTGATTTCAGACTGATTTTTTTAAGAGGCAGCTCAAGTCCTCCAGCATCCTCTATGGGTTAACTTGGGTTTTGCCTTTTTTTTTTAAAAAAGCTTGGTCAGATGTTATCCTTCTCCTTTGAAAAGACACAAACAGATAACAATTAGATGTGTTTCCTTTTAATGAGGGTCTGGTTCTTGGCATGTTTTACGAGTGCTGAACTTGGTTAAGGAGATCAACAGCTGGTACAGGAATTCCTATAACATGAAGACCATTAAAGCTTGTCTTGCATTAATACTGCTGGCATAGTGGCCAACGTTATTTTTAAGAGCTAATTAATGAAGATTACAACCTCTTCATACTTTCCTCAGATTTCTATGATATTTGACAGTCCAAACCAATAGTTAATGTTCTGCAGTGCTACAATTCTGGCTTTTGGGGAGAGAATGTACATAAAGCTTTAGAAAGTAAAACGGAACCGATGGGGGTGCGATTGCATTTTGATCAAAGATGGTGCCCAAGAGGCTGTTTAGCAGGTGAAAAATGTCAGAAAACAAACACAGCAGTGACTGTGTAGCGACTAGGTTAAGTTTTGGACTTCAAAAACATCTAGACAAACCCTCAGCTTTTGGCTTAGTATTTAATTACTTGCATTTTTTCAAACTGAAGATATCAACTGGGAAGAGCTGGAATTTTCTGGCAAGAACAGCAGCTTCCCGTATAGTTCAATCGAGGCAGAAGAATTCAGCTAACAAATGCAGAGCACAAAATGAACTGAGATTGTGTATCTTGTTCCTGTGGCACTCTGATTCATCCAAAGCCATCGTCTGTTGTCACTGCGGAGAGAATGAAACAGCAGGTACGCGCCCAGAAAGTGTTTTAACAGGCTGAGAGCACAATATAAATCTGAAAGGGAGCGTTGGAAGTGAGGGCCAAGCATTAATGGAGATACGTGAGTGCCGCAGTTGGCTGCGCGAAGAGCAGATTGCTGGAGAGGCTCAGTACTGAAAGGGCGAGGAGGATGTGGGCTCGGCGCTGGCTTTATCTGTGAAAGCCTGCCCTGCGTTTCCTCCGGTGGGCTGCCAGCCGTCTCCTCCTGCTTGGCCGAAGGTCCCCTGCTCCGGCGGCAGCTCCTGGGGACATCACGCTCTACCGAGCGCCGCGGACACCAGCGGCACGGTGCTGGTCGCACCAGTCCAACGGAAAAAGCTTAGGAACCGCTATTTTGAGAGCACAAGGCCCCGCTTTTGGGAGTGAGCTGGAGAAGTTGCAGCCTATGAGAAATTCCCTGGGATAAAGCTGGCTGTGAGCGAGCATGGCCTGCCTGTTGTGGTGTGTTGGCTGGCTGCGTGTGCAGTGGCAGGTTTCCGTCAGAGTTAGAATGAAACTCTGACTGCCGAAACCGCCGCTGGAGCATGTAGGTGATGCTCAGCAGCCGGTCTGGATGGAGGTTTGGGGTTAGCACTGCCCATGGAAACCCTGCTCGTGGGGCACTGTTGGAATTATCACATGGATGTCTGCAACTGTTTAAATACTGGGCTGAACTGGAATTGGTTCATCGCAGCCACGAAGGACTGTAGTTTGATCTGTGAGCTTCAACTGATAAAAATACACCCTGGTTCAGCCAGCTGATTTCGAGTAGCTGTTTTGCTGGGCGAAGAGCTCCCTCTGCCACCGTGCTGCTGGCACGAGTGCTTGACTATACGCTAAACCTTCGTGCCAAGGAAGTACTTCCAGGGCAGGACACACCAGCCACACAGGGACACCGAGATCTGAGGTATAAATGTGCCCCTTTTCCTTACCAACTAAAACGGGGCGGCGTGGTGAAGTGTTGGATTACCGCTGTGAGTGCAACCGTGCTGAATGGTTTTGATGGCATAACTGTGTTTATTAAAGGATCACACCTCTTCCACGGCCCAACTTCATTTTCAAGAGCACAGAAGTTTGTTCAGGGGAGACAGATGGCCTCAAATCAGCTTCTGCTACAAACAACTACTTGAATCTTAGGTACGAGGCATGATTCAAACCTGACTGCTGGAGGTGCCAAGAAAAAAAATGAGAGCCGCCAGTGCTGCAGTCTGTTGCCCAGCTTATTCCCAAAATCAGAGTCTTGCAACTGAGGGTTGACAGCAGGGTTCAGAGATGACAAATCATCAGGAAGCAACGCGGTCTGTGCAAGTCTTCGGCCTGAACTCCGTCCAAGCTGTCCCTGTGAAGAGTCGATATCGGCCCTCTGCAAGCGCTGCTCTTTGGTCCCAGAAGATATAGGTCACACGGAGTATTTATGATTAATCCTCACTGTTAGAGCATGAATCTTCAGCAAAGATAATTACTTTAATTAGCTCTCAGTGTGTTGGACTGTCTGTGGAGAGATGGGTGCGTAGCCTCCACCCCTGGAGAGCTGATCTCTAAAGGATGCGTCTGAAGTGAGGGAGAAGAGCGTGGTGTCCTTAGGGCACAGTGCAACGCCAAAAGCAGTGGGACAGCACCGAGTGCAGGCTGGGAGGGGTTAAAAATCTGCTGCAGGGCTTGGGCTGAATCTGTGCCAAGGGCTGTGTGATACTCAGCTCAGTTGACTGACACTATATTTCTTTCTTAGGTTAATTATTTAAAAAGTGGCTCTTTAGTTGTTGCATTTTGTTACAATACAGCTAATGAACAGCTCACCTCCAACTTGTAACAGCTCCCCTGCCCAGGAGAGTTCAAAGAAACGCGCAGCCCACCCCTTCCTCGCCCTTTGTTTGCTGTCCCCACCTGGTTCCTTACACCCGCCGCAGAAATAAACAGAGTTGTACAAATCCAGCACTTTTATTTTTCAGATTTCCAAACAGAATGCAAATTCTGGCTTCCTCTTGCTGATCACACTGGTCTTCCTTGAAATGACAGCGCTATTTCTAGCAGTTCTTTGCCCAGCTCCTCGTGCCTTCCCCCGGCGCTGAACTCCGCAGAGAGCTCCCGGAATGTGACGCAGACTCGGCGGCGCTCTATGTGCTTGCGGTGAATCGCGTGTTTCCACCTGTACCGGGCGTCACCGTACAGCACCACCAGAGACCTCCGGGGTAAGGGAATGGCAACAGTCACCTCTTGACTTGGAACAAGCCTGGGGGGTAAAAGGTGACCGATTCCCTCTTCGCCTGAATTTTTGCATGCTGACGTCGGCGTAAAAGGTCCAGAGGGACTTAATTCCCCGTTTTCTTTACTGCAAGTGGGAAATAATTGGATACTGTCCCCTGAATCACAAGACATAGATAGCACAGTTTTTGAGAGCAAGTTTAAGCTAACCAGACGCTCTCCCCAGAGCCACCAGTCGTCAAAATGGGGGTCGATGGCAGAGCCTCTTGCTGGCGTGTAGTCCAGGTTGCATTGTTCGACAGGTAAGAAATCACCTAGTATGCAGCAGGCCTTCATCTGCGCCACAAGCCTCTGGCTAAAACTTGGCAAACCGGTAAAGCTGCCAGCTTTCAGCCTTTGTTTCTTGAAGTTCACTTTGGGTCCGTAGTCCTGTTGGAAAAGAAGAGGGGGAACAAGCTAGTGTTATTGAAGAATCTAGGACAAGTCTTTCTGGAGAGGCTGTGATCCCTACGGGGCTTGCAGTCCAGTCTCTGAGTTCTGTTCTTATCTCCTCCAGAGACCTGCTCACCAGGTTGCAAAAGGACTCAGTGAAGCTACATTAATCTCTCTGGAATTAGATTTCTCACCTGCAAAGTAAAACCAAACCACCCGCTTCCTTAGCCTGGAGATTGTGCGAACTTTAATGCCTGAACGCGCACTGTTAAATACTGCTTGTTGTAACTATTGTGTAATTTTGCAATAAGTTGACTTCAATTACAAGTAATCCTTGCAATTGATTTCAGGAAAATGTTTCAAAGGAAAACATTTAATGAAACATCTAAATATTTTGGTGTTTAACTGAAAACAGCTTTCCTTTTCCAGAAGGATCCAAGAACAAATGTGCTTCTGAAGTCAAACCTGTTTCTTTCGGCCAGACTGTGAGGGTTTCCAGTCGTCTCGATCCATCAGTTCAACTATCTCAGATTCTTCATCTTCGCTAATGAACTCCTCTGTGAGGAACACCCCTGGAAACGGGAATGCCCAGCCAGCAAATTCCGAGTGCTCATTTCCTTTAGCTAGTCCTGTGGCTGGACAGTAAGTGAAATTATCTTCTCCCTGCGAAAATAACAATGGAGAAGAAAAAAAAATTAGTGGGAGGAAAACTTATTGAGATAAGGTATTTCCACGATTTACCCCTGCAGCCCTGATGCTGCAGCATGAAAACGGTCTGTACAGGATTCCTGTAGATGTGAGAATTTTACAGCTGCTTTTGGGGAACCACTCCCCCCTGCTTTCGTTTTAAC